GGCAGGATGCCCTGCCAATGCCCCCAGACATGGCAGCGTGTTGAAATGCCACGACAAAAGAGGAGCTGGCAGGGGAAAGGAGTATATGGCTACCTTTGATACTAATCTGTCTCATCCAGGACTACTGCTAATATATCCTAAGAATAGAAACAGCTACCAGAGCCAAAGTTCACAGGAAAGAAAAATGGCCAAAATATTTCTGGTTTCTGTTAAATATAACAGTTCCCTCCCAAGAATACAGTTTGGGGAACTTTAATATTCTCTTTCGGGGAATTATAAGTAGTGCCACCCCTCCCCCCCCCCCCCCCATCTGGAAATATGGTGCCTTCATAATGCAAAATGTTCAGAGTTTGTGACAAAAAAAAAAAGTATCCTATATAACCATCCATATTACTCCCTACAGACAAATATATTCATATCTGCATATCAATATAGTGTAACTGCACATCCCTGCAACGTGACGTGGCTCCTGCCCGAGGTCTATCTCACAATTACCCATTTAAGCAACTGTTTTGAAATTACAGGGCTAAGGAGCTCCAGGTTTTGAAGAGAAAGGCCATGCTGCACTGCCTGCTTTTGGCATACTACTTCAACTAGTCCAACCTTACATGTTCATAATTTTCAAGAAAAAAGGCTATGTATAATTACATACAAGAGGTCTGGGGGAAAGGCGGGTGATGTGGAACAAAGTGCACATTTTCAGGAGCTTTGGAAGCTGGTGCGGCTTACCAAGATCAATGACATGTCATCCCAGAGGAGCACTGAAAAAAGCCTTTGTAATTCTGCTCCCCTTCTGTCTGTCTGTATTTTGTATTTCTAAGCAGGCAGTTTGCAGACAGCATGCATGTCCGTGCAGCCACCGTGCACTGTAAATGCATTTAAGCACACAGAGCATCCATGTAACATAGTGTTAGAGATTACAGGCAAATAAAGTACTGTGCAAAGCTGGATGGTACAAAGAAATGCATATTTAAATTAGAAGTTAATAGAGAGAGAAAGAGTTGAGACAGGAGATGGAGAAATTGTTCTTATGATCTAATCAATAAAATGTCCATCTAGCAGATATTAAAGTGGTCTCTAGGCCATGGAGAGCAGCATGTTTTCATTTTGACTAATGCACCTCAAACATAAAGCAGTGGGAAATACTGTAAATAACATTTTAAAAAATAGTTCCCAAGAACAACAAAAAGTCTAGCTGAAAACAATGCATCTGAATCAGGTTTAAATTGGTTTTCAAGAAATAGCCTGATGCATGCAACATCAGCCTCTCAAAAAAGAGCTTGATACAAGAGGCAGTACAGAAGCAGATTGAGTAGGAAAGATTTTCTGAGCTGCTGAATTTATAAAAAGGTAAATACCATTACAGAAAGGTATTATGTACAAAAGGGAAAGGTTCAAGATAAGGAGGAAAAAAAAAAAAAAGAGAGAGAGAGAAAAAAGAGAAGCTTTTCCTCCTACAAGTGAGGGGCAGTGAAGTTTTTAGGGCTCAGCTTGATATTTCAATAAATAATTATGTTTTTCCAACTGAACAACTGGCTAGACATGGCAAACTGTAATTAACACCAAGAAGCATAATACCATTTGGCATGCTTACACCTTGTTTCTGAACAGGAGGCTGCAAGAACCCTTTAAAAGCTATTCAAAGAAACTTATAATTATAATTATGTGCTAGTGTGATTAGGCTCTTCTAATAATGTCATGCCTATTGAGCGCACCCTGTTGAAAAGCCCACATAAAAAATGCACAGTTCCACTGATCTGTATGCTTATGTCAGAAGCCCTCATTTGGTGATCTGAGAAATGAAAGAAACATTACTATGGAGATTAAGAAATTTGGTTTAGCACTGTAAAATAATATTATAATTGAATAATATTAGCACCAACTATTAATAAATGTGCCAGCATTTCCCATTAGAAGACACCATATGCCATTGCTTATAGCTATGCCAAAAGTTTTAAGCTGTGGGAGTGAATCTCATGTTAAAAAGTTCTTTGAATACTTTATGGCTTTGGTGACCTGCAGCAGAACTTTGACTATCGGCAACAAAGTGGGCAACAAATACACACTTTTGACTGTGCAAGAAGGGTCAAACAGCATTAAGGTCATAGACCAATCTTATTATGCATGCAATTATAGAGGTGCTAAACATTTTTATTACTATTACAAAGAGCCATTATAACAGAAGCTCTCTTTTCATCATCTTTATTGCTGGAAGCAAAGATACTGTCTACAACTTTACGTAAAATAAGACATAAAAGTGCTCTCAGTCCAATTGCATTAGTAACTAGCTCTTGTTCATTTTAATTTAGAAGGACTGATAGGTCTAAGCAAGAAATGAAGATGCCTGCTACCTTAGGCCAATTAATCCATGTACTTGAGAATGTATTCTTGAGAGTTAAACACAGCGGCATGATTCCTGAGGACCCATGAGTATACATGGGCATGTAGCTTATAGAAGGTGAACAGCATCTGGCTGATATAATGCAAGCAAGAAACCTTTGCAGCTGCTGAAGCCTGTAATGATCTAGCAGAAATGTACATCAGCTGCTGTTTGAATGCTTGTGTTACCGAGCAATTTTTGTAGCTAATCACCTCTGCTCACATAGCCTGGATGAGTTTCCAGAATGTGGGACAAGTCAGACAAAAGAGCCTTCTTTGTGCCATTCAGCCTCCCTTTCCCTCTCAAACAACCGTGTGCCTCATCTCACAACCCCTCCAGATGTACCAATTATTATTTCTGGAGTCAAAGTAGAATTTACCACCCCCATTTGGGAAAGACCCTCAGGGTTGCAAAAATCTTCAGACAAAGCAGGAAGGTATTATCATTACACTGTATTAAAAAGAAAATAAATTATTGTCCATAAAGCAAGGCATTACCATTCTCTTCATCTCCTTAGAGACCTGGTGAGCTCCAAGGTGGTTATAAAAGGGCCGGTCAACACCCCAGTGTGGCGGGTTATGGCTGATGGAATTAGCGCGCTGACGGTTCATCTTGGCTATTGTGGCTTTCTCGTCTTTCTGAAATACAAACGAGAGAGAAATGCAGAATAAATTTTGAAACATTTACACGGCAGTCGTTGTCCAAGCATCTCTCATTTCCAACCTCTCACTCCAGAACCTGGCTTTGCACCTTGAAATTTATGAAGTGGCTGCTGATCAGGAGCAGTCCCAGTGCACCATTTCTTTTTTTTCTCATTTTTTAGAATACTTGCCCCTAAGCGGTGCCCACCATTTTACTCCTTTGCTTGTCTTGAATAACCATCATAACCTGTGTAAACACAGGGAGCATTCAAAAATAGAGACATCTATTTTCTTTTTTAGTAAACTGAATCAAACTGAATAATTTCAAATAGGAAACTGCCGTTCCAAGCTGAGATACTACATAGAGACTCCTCAAAAAAGACTGGTGCGTCTGCAAGAAAAATGACACACAGAGCAATCTGGTTGAAGAACAGGAGCCTTGAAGCTGTGGGAATAAAGGACACCTTTCTCTGTAGGTACAAGGAAATAATTTTCCACACCTGCAAGAGCATCTTCCCAGACATGCTAAGAAGGCATGTAAATCTTGCAAACAACTTAACTGCGTATCTCTTAAGGGTAATGATATTGCGGAGTGTGACAAAATGGTCTCCTCTACCCTAATGCTAGCTGCAAATTTTATCATTGACCCTAACTTTTCTGAAGTTTGGGCAAAGTCTTTGGTTTTGTCGTGAGAGCTGTTTTTGAATCTTGGTTGTAATTGGAGCTTACTGCAAAGTTTGCACAGGATCTATCAGAAAGGTTTCATTCAAGCTTAATGCCAGTTACAAGAGCACAGAAGTGCAGCATGTAACTAGGCTAAACAACAGGCTGGTTAGTTCCTTATTTTGAATATATTCTCTAGCTAAAAAGACAGGTTTCCAGGTGGATCATGTTCTGTGGAAAGACAGGAGTTTACTGCACAAGATCAAACCTTTTAATCTTCTCTATCAAGGACTGCACTGGAGACTTGCTCAGTGAGGACTCTGTGATTTACCTGTACTGACTCAGAAGGCAGAGGGGTGGCATAATTATTACATCCTTACTTAAAAGAGGCAAACGCTGGAGAGCTTGAAAATTCAGACAGTAAGGATAGCTACAACTTCGCTTTTTATTACTTGGGAGATTAAACTTTTTAAAGAGAATTGCTGCTTCCATGAGATTACTGAAAAAATTAGACACAGTAGATAAATTTGGATTTCAGAAAGTGTTCAGACAACTGAATAATTTAAAAAGAAAGCATCAGTTGTTTTAAACTCTAGAATCTTGGTTCAAGTGTTGTATGACAATACAGGTAGGTCCGCTTCTTTTTTTGCCTGGAGTCTGCTTTCCCTA